AAGTGTGTTTGTGAATGCAACCATAAACAGCAAGCACAATATTTTATTAGTGGTTGTAAAACTTTCTGCACCTACTTGCATGGGAATTTTTGTTAGATTTTATTTTTCTTAAAATATTTTTGTTACTCAATCTGCTATGTATAGCTGACCATGTAATGTGTAAAATGTGGACAATATTATATTACACAAAAAAAGAACAGCAACATAACATATATAATCACCCAACTTTATGGCAAGCAACTGGCCACAAACCCTATATGAAGTTTTGATAAATGTTGATAACTTCATTTGCAAATTCATTTAACAATTGACCAATCAGAATCGCTTGTAACTAAAATTTGACCGACCAATATAAAATGAAGTTTTCAATTGCTGAAAATAACCTGTTAAATTCTTGAGTTATTAATCAAATGAGTTGCTTGAAATTTGCAAATAAAATTTTAAACATTTTTCTAAACGTTTTTTTGCCACAACTGTAACCATAATATAAACCATAATAACTTTAAAGTAACTAATTTAACAAGAACAAAATATAAACTGAAATACTATGTATAACAAGGTCAGGTAGTGTTGATGATTACCACTGTGTGCAGAACATTGCGGTGCTGCACCCACAAATTAATATGCCATAATCAGACTAAGTGTGTTGTATACAGTCAAGTTAAACTAACAGTTGAACTGCAAAACTGCCAGTTCGACTATTTCTTATAGGATGTACAAATCCGCAAATGTTCTCAACAACAAACACTAAAAAGTAGTTTTCAACAAATGTATAGGTGTGATGCTTTTACAAGACCATAACATGTTCTTCCAATTTAAGGTCTTTACAGTAGCTATTACAACAGTTATGCTCTAAAAACAACTTGATAGCATTTTGTGAGAGATTCCCAATACAAAAATTGAGTTTGTTTCCAGCACCATCATAGCTTACAAGATCTGCACTTGCTATTTCAGGGTCACACAATTTGTAGCCTATGCCTTGTATATTAACCAGCAAAAACTTCTCTCTGCTAACCTGGTATGAAAAATGAGCCAGAGCTTCCACTTTCTGCACAACAACTGTGGTACAATCATGAAGAATCTCTCCAGTATTATTCATGTACTTGACAAATGGTTTTCCTTCAATGAATTGCTCAATTGTAACACTTTCTGTGATGTTTCCATTTACTCGTATCTTTCCAAAGTATATTCGCTTATATATATATACGCTTTTCGATGCCTTCTTTGAGCCATTGCAGCTGCATATTTCTTAAACTGTTCTTTTTCCGCCATGTTCTTATGTAATAGCACATGGTCATTCACCTGTCATTCACCTTCACCCGACCGCCTTTGATATTACCGCTACTTTCCATCTCTCAGTATGCTTTTTTCGAAATGTTTCTTGTCAGAAATGTCTCCGATGGGACACAGAAAAAGTTGTCTTGTTTTATTTTAAAACAAAACATGAAATTTATACAATGAAATACATACTAAAGAATAAAAAGTAATTCAGTAAAAATGTAAAAAAGATAAAAACAGAAACATTTCAATAAAAATAAAAATACAGGAAAGAATATTTAATGTCTCTAATGGGACATGCTATATTTTATTTCAAATCAATACAAATTACTTCAAACGAAATTATTTTAAAACGAAACTAAATTAATTTAAATGAGGAATACATTTTGAAAATATCTTTGGAAAAAATCAATGTCTGCAGAAAACATTGCAGCAGAACTCAAAAGAATCGCTGTTGAGTGTAAGATAGATGACAAAGTAGTTGCACTGGTCACAGACAATGCGGCAAATGTTGTTGCAGCTGCAAGGATTACCGGATGGAGACACATCCCCTGCTTTGCCCATACTCTGAATTTGATTGTCCAGGCAGCTATATTTGCAGATACAGTGTTGGCTGATTTGAAGAAGAAGTGCAAAGGTATTGTAACCTTCTTCCACCAAAGTACTAAAGCTTTAGACAAGCTGAGAAAAATTCAAAAACAACTTAGCATCCCTGAGGGAAAATTAATCCAAGATGTAGAAACTCGGTTGAATTCAAGCTTTTATATGTTCAAAAGAATCCTTGAACTACATGAAGCTGTCACTACAACACTTTGTTTGCTGGGTAGGAATGAGTTGTGTCTCTCTCATCAGTAGATGTAGAAAAAATTAAAGCATCCATCAAGGTACTTGAACCCTTTGAAATGGCAACGACTGAAATGAGTGCCGAAAAGTTTGTCTCAATCTCTAAGGTAATACCAATAGCAAGAGCTTTGCAGCAGCTAACTGGTAATGATGCATCCCAAGGGGTCAACAAGGAGCTTGTTGCACAGATGCGCCAACATTTTGTCAACATGGAGATGAATGGTTTACTTGCCAAGTCCACCCTAATAGATCCTTGTTTCAAAAAAATGGCTTTTCTAAATGTTGGAGCATCCCGTACAAATGCAGAGTCACTAATGCATGAGATAGCTACAGTGGAAACGCCAGCAGAAGATGTCCCAACTCCATTGCCTAAAGGTGATATACTATGGCAAGCTTTTGATGCAAAAGTAGCAGATAGAGCAAATGCAAGACAAGGTATGAATGAAAGTTTGCTTGAGAGCAGGCAATATTTTGAAGAGCATGTGATATCATGTGAAGATTATCCATTGACATGGTGGTGTGAAAACAAGAAGCACTATCCAGGTTTGGCAGGATTAGCTAAAAAATATCTGTGCATCACAGCAACTTCAGTGCCTTCAGAGCGTTTATTTTCGAAAGCTGGGGAACTAGTCTCACACAAAAGAAGCTGTCTGAAACATGTAATCATTGAAACACCATAAGACACAATCCTTACAACAAAACTGAACAATGGATGGTTATGGACTCTTTAAACATTTTTGATCTTGAGTATTGTGTTTAAACCTCATGGCTCAGTTCAAATAATTATACTTTTTTAAATCTTTATTGTTGTTTTAAACTTTAATGCATTGTACATTTCCATAAAACTGTGTCAATATAGCTTTACCTTATGGCCTTATGCCTTATAGGTGAACAGTGCTAGTATCGATATCGGTATCGTATCGAAAATATCGATAAAAAAATATTGATATCGTATCAAATCATAAAATCCCAGTATCGCCCACCACTAATTGCAGATGCAGTTGCCTCCAGGCTTTGCTTTGGACCACCCACAATCTGTGATTTTACAATCATGTGATTCAATATTAGCATCAGTTTAAAATTGCAAATAACCAGTTATCTGAGAATGAGATGTCATATGCCAATCCTGGGATTTGGGCCAAAGTTAGACTGGAAATGGTATGGCCCAAAATTAGGCTGGAGACTGGTAATTGGTACCTCCTAGCTTTCAAGACACTCTATAAGCATTATAGGGAGCAATAGGGTGTGTTGCACCTAGTCACACAAAAACAAACATTTTATGATCTGAAAACCTACCAGAAATTAATAGAGATTTGAGTATTTTTGATATTTATATTAAGGTTGACATCTGCATTTGTACAATATGAGCACTAAAGATAGCCTGCTCGCAGACTGAATTAGGGGGCCGGAAATTAAACGGGGAAAATTCAGTCTGCTGAACTGCGGGCATTTTCGTGTACGGTGACGTAATATGAACTGCATAATAATATGATAATTATTCGAGCGCACCGCATACTAAAATGCAAATGGTGGCCATTGCCAGGAGCGCGCATGGCGTCGAGTAATCGTAATTGCTACTGTATTCTGTGCTCTCGAACGATCGAAAAGCCGCACGAAAGATATTTGGTATCCGGGAAGACAAAATTTAAAGCTAGTGAGGCTCTTCGACAGTTGCCATTTGATGTTTTAGAGACATCAATTTACATTTGTCGACAGTGTCTCGATAAACTACGGAAACGAACCGCTCTTCTTGCTCAAAATAAGCTCATCGTAAGCGAACTTAAAGAGGCATATGAAAAAGGTCAACGCGAAAGGCGACAAGGCTTTGAAGACGAAGAACCGAGCAGCAAACGGCCATGTATAACAGCGCCAAATTTGCCCAGCACATCTCAGACAAAGGCTACGACATCAATTGCCAGTACACGTGAAGTGGTCAGTGAGCTGCCGGAATTGTTGGAAATACCAACTCGCATTTTACATTCAACCCCCGTAAAGTCCAGAGAAACGACAGGAGTTAACGTTATAGCAACGTGGCCAAGTCAAAGCAGGCAGAGGCAGCTGAATCCTGATTTGGAACCATTAGGAAAGATGCTTGTTAGAGGAACATACAAGCAAATTGCCAATGCAGCGTGGAACAATCCAAACTTAAGAAAACATCTTGTCTTCAATGCTTTGAAAGACATTAGAAAAGAATGTGTTGGCTTGTGTTCAAAAAAAAACCCAAGTTGCCTGCGGTCACCCTCAAAGGAGCAGATGCTTAACTTTTCTTTTGATAAGCAAAGAAAAGAATTGGAAGAGAGAGCACCATTGTTTTTCTCTGTTCTAGTAGCTGCTGGTTCAACTAGTACCAAAAAGAGGAGAAGGCATGGATTCCAGCTGTTGGCATGGCTTCATCTATACTCCTCAGAAACCGTTCACCATATATGAATGCTATTCAGTTGTTGTTAGGAATATTTCTATATCATTCTAACTGGGCGGTAAGTTTAGTACCACATTATTTATTTATTTAGATCCACCCTATATGGCAATAGATAAAAGTTGACCAGTTTAACCAGGACACATTTCTCTTCTACACTTGTATATTAAAAATTTCTACATTACATTTACAGCCTGTAATGTCACGGTTTTCCAAGTTGAGACTGGTAACATCACCAAACCATCTTTACAAAAAATTGGAAGAATTTGGTGCTGGTCATGATGCAGTGATTAAAGAGATGGTCAGTCAGGATTCCAAATGGTTAGCAAGCCAAGAGAATGCAACAGAATCAATGCAACCCTCTGTTGGGTTTAAACTTACAATTGACAATGTGGACTACAGACAGAATGTTCATTACATGACTGAGGAGCACCAAAACTTGATAAGCATTATGTCTCTGTTAATGCAACCATTAATAGGGTTTCAGCAAACCATTTGAGTCACAAGAGTCCTGTTGGTGGCATCAATGAAATGGAGAATGGGAAGTGTATTCCAAATCACACAGAGCAGAAAGCACAGAGAGATGACTATATTTCTCTTGTCGAGCGTGTAATTGTGGAAAATGTTCCATGCCTTGAATTTGGAAAGGATATTATACAAAAGCATATTCCACATAAATACACTAAGGAAGCATCGCAACCAACAGAATCTGTGAGTGTTATCAACAAATATTCACCTTTTAATCCTATGTTGTATATCATAGTCTAATACAACATACACCACCAGAATGATTTTTGCTCTTCCCCAGGTCCCTACAGCGTGTGAAAAAAATAACATTTTATTTGAATTATAATACTACAGGCATTTCTTGGTGTAATCTACGAGAGTGAGAATGATGCTAATGGGATAAACAAGATATTGCATGATCTTCATAAATATGTCCCATTTACCGGTGAAGGAAAAGACCGAGAATATGCCAACCAACCTATTGTTGGAGATCAACTGACGGTAGAGCGAGCTGTCAATTGTCACATGACCTTGTGCAATGGCTTCACACCAGAAGAGCAGCTAGATGGTCTACACTTTGAAGTGGCAGACTGGCATGCTGGAAACAAAGCTATTGGTGTAAGTTGAATGGTGTTACAGGGACTACTGTATAAACCAGTTAAATCTTATCAGTCAGAATGCTCATTTCATTTTTTTTAAATATGCAACATTGCATTGTAGATACTAGTCAGAGAAGAAGTTAAGGAGAAATAAAGTTTCACTGAAGAATGCTACCAGAAGGGGAGACATTAGCTCTCCAAGCTTCTTCATATACTGATATTAGCAATATTGTTCCCTTGCCTTACTAGGAAAGAGACTGATAGTATTAGCAATATGTTGTTGGATGGGTTTGAGACATCTTTTCATTCCCCAACCTTTTCTGCAACAAACATATTCAGTTATGTGTTTTATTAGTGTTAAATTTTTTATGCAATTATAGGTTGCATTTTCACATTTGTACAGTGCAGCTTCAGCAGGAGACAAGTGCACATTGTACAGCGACCGTAATTTGGTAAACCGCGCGCAATGTGAAAAGTGATGTGGACTCCGCTGTATTGGCAGCACGGCGGTTCTTCGCACTTGAGATCGAAGCACGAATTGTAGCAGCTGCAATGACAGAACTAGGCATGGAGGAATTTGATGATACAGCAGATGGAATTCCATTAATGGACAACTGGACTAAAAAAGAAAAGGGAACCTACATCCGTCAGTTATCCTCCAAAATTGTGGACAAATACATTTTGGATGAAGAAAAACACAAAAAGATTGCTGCAGCTGTAGAATGCCTTGAGGAGAAGCATCTACAAAGATTGAAAGACAAGACAGCAGATGGCCGATACAAGTGTCGATTTCCAGGTTGCGGAAAAACTTTTAGCAATGATGGAAAATGGCGAATGATGCATGAACGAGCTCATGACCCTCCCGTTTGCATTGAGGAGCAGCCAATGCTGGTGGAAATTTTTGATGGGGGCGTTGTAGATGATGATATGTACAACTATCAAAGAGCATTGCTGGACTATTGGGATGGTAGTGATGAACTTCCTAGATGCTATTTCCGAGGGTGATGGTTCAAGAGTCATACGAAATTGGAAATTTCTTCTTCTTTATTTCCACCATGACAAAGGGAGCCAGAAATATGCACTTGAAGCTCTTTATCTGATGTTTCAGGTGCACGCCCTTCTCAGTCCAAAAGCAGCCCACCATCTTGTGTGGAATAGATTTTCGAAGAGGAAGCATTCTCTCGGAGGAAATATTTCTCTTGACCTCCAACTAGAATTCCTCAATAGGATTTTCAAAGATGTCGTCAAGAAACTGGGTCCAAATGCCAACCCTAGATCCATTAGCAGAATTTGTAATGCTATGAACGTTACAAAAAAGTTGACAGAAAATTTTGACAGTGCTATGGCCCTCTACAAGAGATCAGGAAAGCATGTCCGCAAATCATGTAGTGCTGACTTGAAAAAAATTGTGAATGAACTTTTGTTTCATAAAGCATTTGCAAAAACACCAGGAAGATCGTATGGTGCCTACTCAGGGATCAAACCATCAATTGTGTCAGACTTTAATTTGCAGAGGTTTTATGGTTGGATCAATGACCACAAGAACTATATGATCCTTCATCGAAAGGCCAGATAAAATAATTGGCTGATGTGAACTGCAAACAACAAACAGATATATTGCACAAGGTTGTTGTCACAGTGTTGTTTATACAGTAGCATATTGCATTTCAACCCTTTTTGTATACCAATGATTTACATACCATTTGATGAAGCTTTTGATGTAGTTTCAAACAAGATTCAATAGCTCAACATGAAGTTCTCATATGTTTTATAAGCAAAGCATCTGATTGGTGTGGGAATCAAAGGGCAAATCAATTGCTTAGTTTATTAAACAGTTGGGAATTTCACCCAGAAATATTAAATGTTTTAAAAGTGTGGCCATTGATGATTCATTTTAACCCTTAATTTTACCCAAAATAAGAAACTTGTCAAGGGACCAGCCAAATACCAACAAGCACTTGATAATAGTTATAAATGATTTCACAAAATAATTTAAATGTAAATAGTATGGTGTAAATTGCACTTGATAATAGTTATAAATGATTCCAGAAAATAGTTTAACTGTAAATAGTATGGTTTACAGTGCACTTGGTGTAGTTTTAAATGATTTCACTAAATAGTTCAAATGTAAATAGTTATGGTTTATAGTAAGCAATAGATGTTTAAGATGACATGATATCATGGTATAGTAGAAAATGTCATTTATTTACTCATAACAGCAAGGTTTTCAAGGAAACTATCATTTCCATCCTCATTTGAATCATATAAGGACTCTGTTTCATCAAAGTCATATTCATGACTATGCCAAAGCTCATGAAGACTGGAGTCATCCTTCAGTTCCTCCCAATCCATTTCAATGTCAGAAATTTCTTCGAACATTGACACATCATGCTCAACTGTAATGTCACCAAATACTTGTGAAATAATATTCAGTACAGCATATGCATGATGTCTTCGCCAAATTTCAACATTTTGTAAAAACATTCTACTGTAAAAAGTTTGTGGCATGTTTGTAGAATTTGGATAATCTGAAGCCAACCAAACTCCAGAAACACATTAGGTACACCTACAGCTGACGTCATACCAGACATTTCCCTCTCTATTAACTCCTTCTTAAATGTTATAAGGTTTGCTCTTAATTTTTCTTTAGCATTTGCACTTACTGCTCTTGTTGCATACAACTTTCCTGAAAGGCTTGGGGTATCTGTAGTTTCTTGGATAGCAACAAGAGGCACTGTGCTACAATCTGCCAGTCCACATTCACATTTTGCAGCACAAATGTCACAACACATATGCGAAGGGCCATCACTGCTATGACTGTAGCCAAACTCTTCCATTATCATTTTGCGAAGACATACAGAGTCTTCGTTTGATAAAAATGTTGCCATCTTTGCTGAGCAGTAACTTGACAGCAATCCATTGTAAAGAATAATGCAGTTACTGGGTTTTCCATCTCGACCAGCTCTCCCACTTTCTTGTACATACGACTCTAGGGTGCTTGATGGACCAAAGTGAATGACTTTGTGAACACATTTGCAATTTACACCCATGCCAAAAGCGATTGTAGAAATCAAGACACGAATGTGGCCAGCCTCATCTCCAAACTTGTTAATGATGTGTTCTTTCACCACATTTGGGGTGCCTGCATGGTACATTTCAACTAATCTTTTCTCAGGATCTGTGCTACCATGATAAAATTTTTCTTTTAAGTTTAACTGAAACATTCGAAATATTAGTCCACACTGTTTACGGGTTCGACAATATATCAGGGTGCAATCTGTTTTAACCCCATTATGGTAAAGCTCATCAATAAGCCCTGAAAAGACCATCTCAAGAGGCAAATTATTGTTGATATACTGAACACTGTAACACAAGTTCTCACGGTCAGGACTCATTTGTACTGTGTAGGTGCTCTTTTTTGGAAGTTGTAGGGAATTAAATATATATTCTCTTGTTGACTTTGCCGCTGTTGCTGTTAGGACCAAAAACTTTAAATGTGATGGCATCAAAGATCTTAATTCGCCTAAATTACCATACCACTGTCGGAATGGTATGCTTTGTCTACCATGTCCCCCGTCACTTGAACCCCTAAAATGATAAGCAAATATAACAAACGCTAGAAACTAGATTTAAAAAAATAGATATGTAAGCAAAAAGGCTATGACATTGAAACTTACCATTGGGCAATACAATGTGCTTCGTCTACAGCCACTCCAACAAGATTTTTTACAAACAATTTGGAAGAAAATATTGCTCTCCATTTGCTAGTCGAAAGAAGACACTCAGGAGACGCATACACATGCGAGTATCTTCCTTGCATTACAGTTTCTATCACCTTGTCTTTAGAATCGTCCGTAATACAAACAGCAGGTATTCCCAGATTGGTCAAGTAAGCAACCTGTTCTTCCATCAGCGATTTTAAAGGCGAAATCACAACCAATATGCTTGTGCCGTTGTCCTTTGGCTTTATGACATCAGCAATCAATGGAACAGCTTGAAATACCAAAGATTTTCCAAACGAAGTAGGCAGGTTTACATATACATGTTGACCCGAAAAGTATGCATGTAATGCCTCTATTTGCTCAGCATACAACTCCTTTAAATTAAATGTAGAGCACACAGTCCGCAAGGCAGTTTCCCAACGGTGAACATCGATATCGTAACTGTGCTTCGACGACGCCATGTTTTCATAACAATCAGTGTAAATTGTAAATTTATTATATAATTTTATATTTGCAAAAATAATTTATTCAAATTATTTAGCGACTAAACGAATCAAAATGCTTGATCTATCGTTGATACGTTTGAACCAATCACGTTCAGTTACTTAAATCCGTGTAAGTGTTACGTCACCGTACACGAAAATGCCCGCAGTTCAGCAGACTGAATTTTCCCCGTTTAATTTCCGGCCCCCTAATTCAGTCTGCGAGCAGGCTACACTAAAGAATGATGGCATAATTGTTTTCATATGTTTAAATAAGTTTAACACATTGGCAGCCTTGTGGGAATACACATATCATATTGGAAACTAATATTACCATTGTTGTTTAGAATTTACATTGTACATTTAATTATTATCATTGTCAACCTTCATAGAATTAGCTGTATTTATGATCAACAAACTCTTCGAACAATTTATCAGCAACAGATTAATTTTTTAAAGATAGATCAGTTGATCTGTGTTGCAACCACTTTCGTATTTCTTTCAATTGCAAAAGTGAAACAGCAACACATGCATGAGGATACAGTCGAAACTGTTTACAATCAGTATCACAACCACAGAATACCTTACAGAAGTGGAACTCCTGTACTTTTTTCGTAAGTGTGATTCGTCATGATTCGTCACTTAGCAAGTGCATTTTTTTGAGGTAGTCACCCCCCTGCCAATGTCTAAAATCAAGCCATTTTTAGTATTGGCAGGGGGGTGACTACCTCAAAAAAATGCACTTGCTAAGTGACGAATCACACTTACGAAAAAATAGTATAGAGTTCCACTTCTGGTAGGTATTCTGTGTCACAACTATAAGGAAAGACTTTTGCTAAGAAATAAGAACCTCAAAAGGAATCATGATAGACAACTTTCCTATCATTTTGTCAACCGAAAGAGGTTAAATAATGCAGCTCATCAATAGCATTAACTTTAACAAAAACATCAGGCTTCTGAATTAATTCCATCTTAAAAGCTTCAAACGATATATAAGACTAAACAATAAAACAAGCATAAACGCAACACGAATGACAACATCAAATGACTCACTCTGTTTTATACTCGATAAAATATAACCAATTCGATTGGTTATCTCTTCTTTTTTGTGTTTGCGTGAAAAGATAAAATACCCAACTTTTGAAATAAATTTACAAAATGCTAAAAAAGTAAATAAACGAGAAAGATTTGTCACGGAAATTTCCTTAAAAATTATATATACAAAATCAACTGTTTTAAAGTTGCATGCAGAAAAAAAGTCTCAAATAACTTAAG